TCTCCAGCAGGTCGAGGGAGGTGATCCTGCCCCTCTACTCAGCCCTGGTGAGGCCGCATCTGGAGTATTGTGTCCAGTTCTGGGCCCCACAGTACAAGAGGGATGTGGAGCTGCTGGAGAGAGTCCAGCACAGGGCCACAAGGATGATCAGGGGCCTGGAACATCTGCCCTATGAGGAGAGACTGAGGGAGCTGGGCCTGTTCAATCTGGAGAAGAGAAGGTTGAGAGGAGACCTGATCAGTGTCTATAAGTACCTCAAGGGAGGCAGTGAGGAGGATGGTGCTGGCCTCTTTTCAGTGGTGGCCACCGACAGAACTAGAGGTAATGGCCACAAACTGAAACACCAAAAGTTCCACAGGAACTTAAGGAAAAAAATCTTAACAGTGAGGGTGACAGAGCATTGGAACAGACTGCCCAGAGAGGTTCTGGAGTCTCCTTCTCTGGAGATCTTCCAAACCCATTTGGACGCAGTCCTGTGCCACGTGCTCTAGGTGACCCTGCGTGTGCAGGGGGGTTGGACTAGATGACCTCTAGAAGTCCCTTCCAACCTTAAGCATTCTATGATTCTATGAACAGAAAGAGTTTATTTCATGCTAATATGTTCAAATATAAAGTAAAGTTTACTATTTTGTGGTATACTAACCATAGGTTAAACTCTCATTATCTCACCATCTCTTGCACTGTTAACAGGCCGTGATTTGAGTAGCCAGCTTAAAAGGAACAAGCACCCTCTTAAAAACTGTCAACAACTGTATGAAAGGTGTTTAATACTTTCTCTTCAAATTGAGAATATAGAGAAAAAATCTTAATTGTATACATGACTGGACAGATAATATTAATTACTGAGCAAATAGCAGGGGAAAGCCATGACATCCTCTAATTCCTCAAAATTAAAATCCATTTAAACTGAGAATCCATACCTTTTTTCTTGGAAATTCATGTTTTGTCACAGTAGGGATATTAATAGAGAAAGTTATTTTAGATATCTAGAAATTATTAAAAATTGTATTACATACAATTTTTCCCATCTGAGTTCAGGCCAACTGTATTAATGCTATGCACAAATGAAATTCCAGAGTGTAAGGTAGGGAGGAGAATGTATATATATATATATGTTTTCTTTTAAAGACATCCCTGAGAAGCACAGTTATTTTTTCCTCCTAAATATTTGGCACATCAGGAACATGATAGAATATAATGAGGTGCAAAGATTTCTTAACAGCTCTTTGAGATATTTTGTGAATAATGCATGGGAAAAAAAAGAAATCTTCATACAATTCCACCTTTGCAAAAGTTGAGCAATCATACAAAGCCTTGGACTATTACCTCTTTTGAATATAGGAATATGTTCTTTTGGATGTCTTTAATGATAACAGTTTCTTGTGTAAGCAACTTGATAACTTGATGCCCAGTCACAGTACTGCAGCCATACCTTCACCATGGTATAAAATCCTGAAATGCAGATCACGAAAAAGGTGTTGCCCAAGAAAACCCTCCAAATAAACCCTGTTCATGATATTTTCTGTTACTCCTGTGAAAAACAGACTCGATTACTCCTAGCCAGATGACAGTTCCATTCTTTCAAGTTTTCAGTGTTTTTGTTTATTCATCTTCATGCTATAACACAAAAAGGATCAAGTCAAAAAATAATCATCTGAGCTATTTGCTGATCCAAACATTATCTTTTCAATTGCAAGTGTGAATATAGCCAAGATCTTATCCTTGAGAACAAGTTCAGGTCTTCCTTCTTTCTGATGCAGAGCAGAGCTTTTCCATCTAAATCAGGTAAAGTACAAACTTCAGTTCCTGAGGACTATTTAGTACAGATACCTGAAGGAACCAGGACTGCAGCAATAACTTTTATCCACTGAAAACATTCTTACGATCTCCTCTCTTCCTATCGATCTTAAATTCATCACATTAAAATCTGAAGTAGCCTTAGCAAGGCTCACCAGTTTAGTTTCTGCTTGATGATTTGTTGGTCTAAATTTGGCTTCATTTCTGTCTGAAGATTAAAGCCTCCACAGCATGCATGTCACTGCCAACTCCAACCATCTGTCATTACCCTCAAGTATGTTTTAGCTGTGATATTTATCTACTCACCACTGTTTTGCAAACAGAACACAAAATGATAAATACCTAAGCACTTAACCTTTCCCGAGACCTTATCTTCTGATTTAACTGCCAATCCTCACTCGTTGCTAGATAAAGCTCCCAAACTGAACCCACTCAAATTTTTTTCTGTGATAATTTAGCAGTTAGATAACTCAAATCTGAGGTTTTTCATAATTTGAAGCAACATTCAAAAAAAAATAAGATATCAGCATTTTTCACAATAATATCTTATTAAAATAATGAACACTTCCAATACATGCTAGCACAAATGTATGTGTGCATATATAGCATATGCAATGAACCATTGCTATTTGGATGCACACAACTTTACATATCAACTGAGAGGGTATTATTTGAGTTGAGAAAAAAAATCTCTCTATATTCTCTGCCATAACAAAGGCAACTGTGTCGCATTTCCAATAGATTGTCTATCAACCCAGGTCATTTACTAAGGCTGAAAATCATTAGGCCATTTTAGGAAAAAAAAAAAAAACTGTATATGGTTTGGCTACAGTATTGACTCCAGGAGTATCTTTTTTCCCAGGCTACTGGCATATACTTGTCTAGATAGACTGCTGAGATGCAGAAGTACTGTATAAATTTCCTCTACCATTTATCAAACATGTTTCATCCAGTAATAGCTTCATGTAAATTTATACAGCATCTCAAGAGGAAAGATTCATACCCAGGGTTCTCCAGATGTCTGGTTAGTACACTCTCATCTTATGAACCTAAAAAAGTCTTTTTAGAACTAGAGATTAGCTTTAACAGGATAGTGGTAAGTGCTATAATACTGGGTCTGGAGCCGTCTCACAGCACATTGCTTTCTGATATTCACCAATACTTACAGTCAAACATTTAAACAAAAGGCAGCCACAAAAATATCAAAAGGAAAAGAGCAATATGCTGGGTAGGCACTAGAGTGATGAGCACAGACTGGAGGGGATGTAGGGGATTGGGAGTAGCTGAAAAGCTCCCGATGAACAGAATTCATGCCATTTAAAGAGCAGTTGAAAGAATGGTGCTTTCTACTAGGCACACCTGAAACATTCTTCCTTATTTCTCCAAAATAAAAAGGGTCAAACAGCTTTTAAATTATCCTCTATAGGGAGTAGGCTATGCTTCCCTTACCTGGCTTTTTTCCTTTATCCTGCAAACAAACTGCATTAACATTCATAATCATCTCGAGGGGGAGGAAGGGAGAGAGAGAAAGGGATGATTATTAGTACCCAGTATTACGAGAAGAAAGGAAAAACCATTCCTAGCCTCTACTTGGCTTACTAGTTAAGTAGTAACCCCTTAATTATGTTTAATGGCCTAGGACAGCCTCTGGAAGTGTCCAACACCTTCTCCCCTCCACATGATGGAAGGCATGAGAGTCCATTAAACTCACTGACCCACCTGACACTGTTGGTCAAAGTGCTGACAAAAAGAGTTAGTGTTTAGTTTATGTCTATTATCACCTGCTGTGTCTTGTTTATGATTTGCTAGTGTATTTAGCTGTATTTAGCTAGGTTGAAGTTGCAAGATAGATCTGGATGTCAGTGGGAAACTTTCTGAGTAAAATAAAATGTTAGTAAATAATTCACAAAGTATTAGTCTATCAGTAGAAAAGTCTAGTGGTGATTTCTGTATTTCAAGAGACTCTCTTCTTCTGTTTCTCTTAGTTAAAATTATGGTAATTTTGGAGACGGTTTTAGTATTTATTCTTCACTTGAAAGATATTAACTTATTGGGTACATGAGAAAATTAAGGCTTAGAGCAAAATTTAGGACTACTGAATTAAAAGCCAGTAAAAGAGCTTTGGCTTTTAATTCAGCCCTTTGGCTGAGCTGCTAGGCAGCTTGTATACCTCAGTGTAGGGACTTGACTAGCAGGGGACAATAATCCCTTGCAGCACACAGTTTCTTCAGCTCACTGCTTACAGCAACATTCCTTTAAGAGCAACTCCCTCTCAAACTACTAGTCTTTTAAAATGTCTTTTTGTTTTGTAAGATTAAAATCTTCAAAAAAGCCAAACACATGAAAATTACTATTGTATAGATAAAAGAGCAAAGGCCAAAGTAAGACTTAAGAATTACATTGTTTCACTAAAATTCCTGTTGTCTAGTTGGAAATAGCACTTTACATGATCACTACTGAACTTGTTTTAAATTGAAAAGATTTTTCCCCCAAAAAAAAATATTTTGTGGACTTCCCTATTACTGGCATCTCTTGTTTCAGTATATCCTGTCTATATGGTCCCTAGTCTGTAAGGAACAAAAAACACCTCCCATTCTCAGGCAAGAGTGTGCTTGAATGTTAACAGTGACTGTCTGATAGCATGTCAGTTTTCCCACATCTGAGCTATACTTAACCCATGATATTGCACGCAATTCAGCTAATATAACTACACAGCTATAAAAACTGACAAAGTACTGGCTGGGAACAACTAAGATAATTATCAGTAAACGAATAAGAATAGCCAAGCACACTCTCTGTCCTTCTTTATAATTAAATAGTGAGAGTATAAACAGCTAAATAGTGTGAACCAACATACCAATTTCCACTGGGAGATGGGTGATTTGATTTTTTGGCAGTTCCAGTATTCTCAGATCCTGAAACAAGGCAATGTAGGCTGGAATGGTTTGTATCAATGTGTTGCTCACATGCAATTCTTTCAGATATGTCTGTTCTTTCAGTGAACCTGGGAATTCCTGCAAATTAAATGACATTTCATAAATAGAAAGCATCAAACTGGAATTGGGTTCAGCCATATTTCTAAAAAGAATGGAGAAAATTCTATAGCCAAACTTCATCATTTTGCCTTTATTATCTTAATATAAACAGTTTGTTCAGCAACTCTTGTAGGAGCTGTTCTCCTCGGAATATGATTGAAGTTTTCTGTCCCCATATAGACAATTTTTAACTGCTCATGCAGATGCTTTGCTCTAAAACTGAAATCTATCTGTAGCACTCAGCCTGTTTGGTGGCCATGATTTCTCTTTTTCCTGATTCTCTTTTCCAGCTGTAGGATTTAAAAAAAAAAAAAAAAGAAAAGAAAGAAAGAAAACATGCATTTCAGGCTTTAATTCACACATCAGTATATGGTAAAAGCGCAAGTGCACAAGGAATAACAGAATGAACCTTGCAACACACACACACAAAAAGTGTGACTACACTTTTAAAACCTGCTAATCTATAAAAACTTGTCTGCCAAGATGTAACACAGACCTTAGTCTATGGAACAGGAACATTTCAAATAGTACTTTAAAATAAATAAAGTACAAATGAAGTACATGCTTTACAAGCAAAAAGTACAAGCAATTAATAAAGTACAAATAGTACTTTAAAAGTCTTGTTTCTAAAACAAGTAATTTAACTTCCTAAGTCATTCCAATATTTGAGAATTTTTGTTCATTTTCTTTATAGAATGAATATACTAATTTTTAACAGTCCAGAATTGCAAATAATTGTCATTTAAGTCATTCAGAAGATTTTGCTTTAAAAATTCTCTGATTGTTCTAATATTCAGTAAATGAGTTTGCTTGAGTAATTTTCACACACTATTCTATTTGTCCAAAATCTTTCACCTATAGCAGTTAGAGTGAAGGGTTTAGAGTCTTTATTCATACAATATCATTGTAGCTAATTGGTATTCAGCTCAGACTTAGTCATCTTTGTTTGAATTATGCAACCAAATTCCTTAAAGTTAAATAAGCTAAAAATCATTTGATAAAGTTGAAGGTCAGATCATTTAAACTCCACTTTCTAAAGCAGCACATAATTTACCAGTCTGTTCCTGATTTTATAGCACTGTGCATTGGTAACATCTGGAATAAATAATCTGGATGAGGTGCTATTACCTCCATTGCTCCATAAAAAGAGATGTAATAGTTTTAACATTTAATTCCTTTCTAACTTTTTTCTTCCCAGGAATTGAAGAATTGTTCATAGTAGAAACTACTGTTTTTATATAGAGGACACTGCCAAGTAGCTTTTTTTCCTCTCTAGATGTCATAGATCTACAAGGACATTAAAAAGGGTGATGCATTTTAATTATCTTTTACTAAAACCTTGGAAATGTGCTACTTAACCTTTAGTTAAATTAAAACATCTAATTGCAATTAAAGATATACTGGACAGTTGATCATAAACAGGTTTTTGTTTGGTTGTTGCAGTTTCTAATTATGGTACTTTTCAACTTATGCATGCAGACATTTAGCCTATAAAGGCAGTTCTGTCTTGCCACCTGCCTTTCCATGTTTGATATGGGTCATTTCATTTCTTGCTTCATTTTTCCAGTGGCTAGATATCGCACTGTGATCCATCTTATATATTTATCAGTTTATGATAGTTAAAAAATAAAATGCCTAAAATGCCCCAGGCACAGTAATGAGATATCTCTCCAGCTTTCTGGAGTGGGTTTCTTCTACTCCTCCCCTTTTGGTGGTGCACATTTTTCTGCAGCAAAATAAAAGAATAAATACCAACTCGGGATTCAACTAATGCTGTTTTCTCCACTATTACAGAACTGAAGATGCAGCACATGGGGAGAACATTTAGCTGGATCTGCATAGATGCTACTCTAAATAAGAACTGTGATTCACAGAGAAAGCAGATATGTAACATAGTCACACCTGGGGAAAAACAGGTCTTGCTACCAGACAGCATTTGCCATTATTTCCCCCACTGTGCCTCAATCCAAAAATTGTCCTATTGAACTCCTGTTTCTGTTAACCCACTATCACACCTGACCATCTCTGACTCCTTGCTGGCCCAAGGGATGTGGTGGGGAGTACAAGCAAAGGCTGGCCTCCAAGAAGCCAACAGCAGGACAATTCTCTAGAGTGTAAGCAGGATCCCACAAACTTACCCTTGATACACAAGAAAGACAGCAAAAAACAAGGCACTCTCTCAGATAATGATCAAACAGCTCAACTGCTCTATATCTTCAGAAAAATGGGATAAAAAGTGATTCATTTTTTTGACCATCTCTTAGGGTGGAAAGGAAAACAGTGTCAAGATATTCTAATGCAAGGACTCAGAAAGGATGAAAATTTCAAAAGAATGGAAGCAGGTGAGAATATGGACTCTTTTGACAAATGCCTTGACTCATTTTTTGTTTTCCTTGAGGCAGTTTATTTGTATCTTTTCACCACATTTACATTATGCAAGTGTAATTTTCTGTGCTTAAAAATGCTTAAAAAGCATACTTCAAAAAAATCTGATTTTTTACCATATATTTATGATGTTTTACCATGTATTTGTGTAGCTGAAACATAAATTGGTGTGACATTTTACTTCATTTAGAAACCAGTTAGGGACGGGGACAGAAATTTGCACAAGCTTTATGTTTGCTTTACTCTGATTCCCTTGTGCTCTTTTGTAATCTTCTTCTGCCATGCTAAAGCTGGCAGCCTGCTGATAAATTACTCCATGAAGACTGACACTCGGAGGATAGCCAGTCTTTTGCCTTTAACAGAAAAACAATACCTTAAACCCCTTTGATTTTGAAAAAAAAAAAAGATAGAAAAAAGAAAAAAAATGCTATTAAAAGGCAATAAATAGCAAAGCTACAACCATTGCTAATTTTTCTATTTCTCATTAGGAGAGAATTTACCTGCTAGACATGAGCCTGTGCTAAAACTGTTATCAAAGCATACAGCTCAGTTTTACAATTCTGATCCTTAACCCAGCTCTGTAATTTTATTTGTCATGGGCCAAAACAAAAGCTTGAATCCAATTCTTTCTCATCTTTGAGAAAGATTGGAGCCATTTATAAAACTATTAATACCCATGTCCATCTCTATTTCCCAACCAGATCAAGCATTTTACAAGTATTGGTGGGCACAATCTCTGGAAGTGAGTACACACATGGCAGATTTTTTGTTTGATGCCATGATTCTGCTTGATCTGTTGTGGCAAACTGATACCTCGCTGTTTCTAGCGTCACAAAAATTAGGAATTCTCCATTCTCAAGAAAAAAAAAAGAATAGTTGGATAGTGAAACTGAGCGAATAAATGCTAATGAGTAATTCCATTAATTTGCTGGCTTTTTGTGTTCACAAATGATGTGCAATAAGGTCATGATTTTCTAGTATAAAAATTTGCAGGCTATCATCCATAAGTGTTATGCACACATGATATTAAATTTGTCTAAAATAGGCATGGCTCCAGACTTCCTGCTGGAGTAGAGCAGCATAGCTGAGAACCAAGCCCTGTTCTATCTGAGTGAATATTATCACTTTTCATTTATCGCTACTGACAGATTCAGAGGTCTGCTTTATTGGAATGTTTTCTTAAAATTATTTTAAATCTGCTGATCCAATGGAGAATAAACATTCATTAGTTAGGAGCAGGAAGCAAACACGCAGAGGGGAAAAAAACAGAGTGAAAGTAAATTCATTTAACAATTCAAATGAATATTCATGACATTATTTTGCTACAATTTCCATTCAGCTCTAATAGCAGTCCTTTTTCTCTGAAGAACTAATTTAATTCAGTAGGTACATGTTTACATGTACAAAGGATCTCAGTTAAGAGTTTCATCAACTCTCCAGTATTCTCCCCTAGGCAGTGGATATTAAATGTACATTTCAGGAGTCCAAAGTTCTTATACGTCTCCTTTTTATTGTAGGTTTGCTTGGAACGGTCTAAGAGGAAGAAAGTTTTCTTGAACATACCTGGGAAACATCAGCTTACTTACTCACAGTACCTCTTTTTCCTGATGACAAGTCCCAAGGCTTTTTGAACACATCAGGATTTACCAGAATTTAAGCTGAGAGGAACACAGCTATGTTCTGCCCTTATTATGTAACGGGAAAATACAAGCATCTTTCACAGCATCACATTAGGAGAACATTAGGAGACTAGCCCACTGGTTGTCATAAGACTTCTTTTTCCTGATGTTTTATTTCAGCTGCTAAATATAAATACTTGGCTGACTAACAGCTTTCTTAATTCATTACTGTCCACATATTCCCAGCTGGCAGAGATGCACCACACATGGATGCAGATGCTCAATTCATAAATATTTGACTGATTTACCAAAAAGGGTGTCAAGGACCACCAAATACTAAGGATGCCATCACACAATCTCTTCCAGCTGGATCTCTGACTGAAAAAGATAAAACCATCTAATATCTGCAGTTATCAACCACTATTACCAGCCAGAAGCCTGGAGAGGCACAGCTAACTCACTAAGCAAGTTACAAAGACTTATTCAGATTCACAGGCTCACTGACTATAAGGTCTTCAGGTGTAAAGGCCTGATGCTGATCCTCCTTATGGGACCATAAGAAATCCCATTAAGTTAATGCAATCACAGCATTATAAAACCATCGATTTGAGAGGTGTACAGACTCAAATTGCATGCCTCAAAAAAAAATGGCCTAAAAGTGAACTGTAGCTTGTAAGAATTAATGATCTAAAAGGAATTATGGATCTGCACATGCAGAATATATTCACTCAAAATTCAGATACTGTAAAAGGAAGTCCCACTTTTTTCAACTAGTATTCTATGTCTGTTTATTTAACTTAATATTCCTAATATTAATTACCTGATCCTCAACTCCTCTAAGTTAAAATAATTATTTTACAACTGAAAAGAATAGAGAGTGTCTACTTCATGAAAACATATTTTCATTTCAGTGACATTTGAAGTGGAAGAAAAGTGAAAAAATGGTCCTGAAGAAAACAATTGTTATTACAAATTCGAAATGTGCTCTACTCTGATTTCTCCTGTTGCAAAAGGTTCTCAGAAGAAGATCCAAATTATTTTCCAAAAATAATTTCAAATGGTCATCAAAATAGTTGTCCAGGCTACCTTAGTACACAACGGAAGGTTTTATGAAGCCTCTTTTGAAACTTGCAAGGTGGAATCTGTGTGCCAGATTGACTGCTATGCTGCACAGGTATGGAGTATGGGACATTAGTAACCCTGTGACACATCTACATCTTTACCATCAAAATAAACATTGGGACTGATGGATCCTCAACATAAGCCACCTTCCTCATTGACTGTGGGTTCACAAACAATTGCATTAGCTGATTTGTAGTCAGCTCCCTTGCTCCTGAAGAAAATTCCAAGAGAGCCCCTATGTGGAGTCCTATGGGAAGGACGCTGTAAAGGCACTTATTCTATCTTGCAAAGTCCCTAAACTGTGGATTACTCCTCCATGAGACTTAACCCCACAATGGTCAGAAGGAGAACTGTTAAAGGCCAGAAGCAGGCCCAGTGTTCAAAATTAAATCTGTAAGTCATACCAGCAACCTACTCAGATTTAGCTGTCGACTGTCAAGAGGATATGTTATGGCTTCATTGAGGGGAGAAAAGGAGAAACATAATAGAAATACTTATCAGCTAAAAGCAAGCTAGATAGAGGATTCAGCAGCAGTTCCCAAATGGACACTTCACAGGGCTGTGCTGCTTGCTGTTGCCAAAAGTACAAGGCCATTGAGTGGGAAACTAAATAGGTTACATGCCTGTAAGACCGCACAGGTAACCTTGGCTCTGATATCTCCTAGCGTCCAAGTGTTTAATCATCCCAACTTTTCCTTCATACATGTATTTCTCTGCAAAATTATTTGCAGAAAATAAAACATGATAGTTTCTACAAATCCTGACTATAACATGCGGGAATTTCTGATAAAATTGTCACATGTCCCCATTTTTTTTTCACATGCCAAAAGTCAGCCTGTGCAGCCTTTGATCCATTTGGTTATGGTCTGCAAATGCATTTTCCATAATGCATTCTCTTGAGAGAGTGATGAGCAGGAAAAATGTCATGGCTTATTGTGTCTTTGGTTTGGAAACGGCAGATGAAAAAAATTGCAAAAAAAAGAGACAGTATGATTTGTATAACCAATACTGTAACTTCTGTAAAATGTCTAAAACTATGGAAAGGATACATCCAATAGAACTTCATTTTAAAAATGTGAAAAAACACTTGACAATTTTCAGCTGTTAGAGAACATCAGAATTCTTTGACCTTGAAGAAGGGTGGTTCTTCTCCAAATAAGGCATATGAATTACTGCTTTGATTTGATTTTAATCTACAGTCATCTGCAAACTACCTTACCATACTTCTTTGAAACAGGAAGCTCAGTTTAACCAGGCTGATTAAATGAGGCATAGAGGCTGAGTTAGCCCATGACATTGGGAGAGAAAAGTATTCAAACACACCTTGTAGTCAAAAGGCATCTCAGTGAAAGTTTTTAACAATCTAAAAGGCTACAGACCAGCTCGCCTTTCAAATGAGTTCTCTTCTAAACTAATATTTCACACAAAACACAACCAAGAGGTGTTTTTTTTTTTTTTTTTTTTTTTTTGCAAGCTGTTCTGGGTTGATGCGAATGTTAGTTTTGATTTGAACAAAACTTAAAAAAGAGTTATCACAACATTAGAGCAAGAAGACAGATCTCTGAGTAGCAGAAGATGTCAACGAGCCAACAAAACTGGATATTACTTTCATCGTTTTCCATTCATCAGGGAATTTAAGAGAAAGACATCTTATTGCAGTGCGATTGCTCATACCAATAATTTTTGCAAGGGCTAAATTACATGTTTCAGGAGAGAGTTTAAAACAGCTTATTTGAGAACTAAACTGATAGTTCAGAGCAAGATGAAAAATGCTTCTGTCACTTCTAACACAATGAAAAGATATCAGTTTCATATGCATTGTCCAAAGAAAAAGTTTTGTGGGGTTAAAAGTTACAGTGCAAAGTCACTCAAATAAAAATGCATTTGTCATTATATTTACCGTCCACTGCTCTCCAGAAAGCTGAAAAACAAACTTGCTTCTTTCCTTCTCTATTTCATCTGCCAAAGCACGCTTCTTATGGACCTGAGGAATCTTTCCATACTTATCCAAGATCTTCTCATCAGTGTTCACAAAGCCATTTTTGAGGTATTTTGATTGTGGGATACCCTTCTTCCGACACTCTAGTATGAAGTTCCATTCCTGTTTTATCCTGAAATAGATGCAAAAAGGGTTTACATGAATCAACTGAAACAAAACAGCACAGAAATCTGCTTGTTATTTGTTTCCAGAGCAAACAACAAAATAAAATCACTTACCTAATGCATTGACCATTTAAAGAGATAAATGCATTCAAGCAGCCATGCTTAGATTCACCAGACTGACATATAGATGGGAGCAGGATTTCATTTAGTAACTGTAATACAGTGTCATCCAGGGAATAACAGAGAAGCAGTAACTGAGCCCACTGTCACAGAAAGCATTAGGAGTTACGCCATTGTTTTCAACTGGATAGGAATTAGATTGACACTGAACAAGTAACAAATTATATGTATGAATAAAACAAGAACCTGGTGATATACTCAGGATTTTTCATCTGAAAAAGATATTTTAGCAACTAAGGTGTCAGAAAGGCTTTATTTTCTTTTTCTCTCTTATTCAAAGATAATGATCTACTTTCATTTTTAAAACATTATACTCTGACATCTTAGGAGGTAAAGGTCAAACTTACCACATGCCAACTAATTTCTATTTCAATTCCAGTGTAACTTTAGGCTCACCTCCAGGATGAAGTTTCATCCATATAACTTCAGGCATAAATTTAATTTGACATAATTAAGCAGTGCTAACCGCACGTGCTTTAATTTGAGAGAGATTTATTTCAGCTTAGTCAATTAAGGAACAAGTTGATTAACTGAAGCAAAGCTTCCTTATACCAAAAATAAGACTCTGCAGAGGCTCTCACCTCATAAATCTGATCTTACACTTTGAATGCTAGATTCTTCTTGTACATGAGACTCAATTATATGATCCCACCCTCTGGCAGAAATTTTAAGCAAAAGACTTGAATGCATATTTGGAAAGAGAATGAAATTCAAGTTTGTATGTTCAAGTAAGAAGTAATAAAATCAGTAAACATATTTTTGGCTAAACACAGAACGTTCTATAAAATGCTAAAACATAAAAAAAAAAGATGATGAAACAATGCCTTGTTTTAAATCAGGTACAAGAAATCAGTTACAAACTTAGGTGCAGGAAACATCTTCACATTACTGTGAAAATATATTTATCTTTGGATGCAAAATCTTGTAGCAAGACAGAAGTTAGAAGCTGAAGATCAGAGTGTATTGATGGGGAACTGATGGTGTGCATTAAGTCATATTTGACTCTACGCTGTCAAAATACACCTGGACCTCTAGGGATCAAAACACAATGCTTAAATAGGAAGAGTGTGAGTATTACTGAGACAGCTGTAAACTGCCCAGCACAAATTGTGACAGTTACAGAGATCTTATGGGAGAGAAACTCAAAAGCAGGGAGCACGGCAACAGACGGAGACCAGTTATCCACACACAAATCACTCATGGACATGATGCAGGCCTGACACTTTCGGAAATAACATACAGCTGTTCATCAGAGCTGCTACTCTATGACTTGATTTAGTTTCCAGCAGCAAACCACACATGCTTCCTCACAGAAATACTGAAGGTCCCTTCTATAATAACAACTACACTGTACTCCTGTGCAGCATCCCCACAGAGAAGAGAAAAAAAAAAAGAAAAATACAAGAAAAAACATTCTAAAGCACATTCAGTTTTGGAAAACATACTATATTAAAAAGTAGTTAAAAGTTTTGCTTGCTGTGGCAAACACCAGCAGATGCATGAAAACAGCACAGTCTCAGAGCAAATACATTCCTACAAAGTGACAATAACAATCTCTTTCTCCCTCGCATCCAAAAACAGGAAAAGAAAATAGACAAAGTGGCATTTACATCCAAATAAAGAAATGGAAGGGCAGTGTATGCTCTAATAAATTAAATGTAAAACCACAAAAAGCCAAGTGAAGTCATTCTTTGCAGGTATACAAATATTGGAAAAGATTTTCCAATGTATCAAAAGCAGGAAGCCTCTCAGATATGATGGGGATTATAATTTATCAAAGTACAAAAGGAACACCAAGGGAGTAGTTAAAGAAGATGTTAAGAAATTTTTAGGAAAGTCAAATTTGTTCCTGGTTTCAGTGTTCATTAGAGTAGACAGTTTGCTCTTCACTGGTAAGCAGCTGGAGGGATTTCCTGCATTTAAAGTGTCAAGAGATGAAATCTGAGAATAAAAATAAGTTATCTGAAGACTGACAAATCTTCCAGTTCCTCCCAGTGTCTAACTGTAGGCACCCTTATATTATAGGAGTCTGAAATACAAATGAATTGGGCACATAGAAAACAGGTTCAGCAAGTTTGGCTCAGGAAGTCCCTTAAACAGCAGCTTCAACAAGAGTAAATCACCAACCTGTAACAGTTATAATATTTTTGTAAAAGATACTTGATGTAACAAAAGATGAAGAAAATGGTTTAGACTAGAGAGCTGTTCAGTCTGCTCCATGATCCTTCAACATGTTGCATCTGATACTGAGAGACAGAGAGCAGGGATCTGATTGTCCTTGACAGCCCAACCCAAGTATCTCCCCACCAGCTGCAGACTGGAAGCCTGCATTGGATAACAACATTTTCCGTATCAGGAGACATGAAAGCTCAAACACCTCTTTCCGCTACCTCGATGCATGAGTGAATTCAATTTATAGTGTTGAAGTTACTTACTCAATCTGTCATCTGAACCCCAGAGATCACTAGCACAATAGAGGGCAGACAATTTCATGCCAAGAGGTCACTAGAAAAAGCTGGAACATAATACTTTGATATAGTATAAGAAAACTAAATAGTCCCACAACACCTACATATTTTTTTCTAAAAGTCTTCTACTAAGGAGCATAGCTAATTAGTTATAAAAGCTCTCTGTTACCGTGAGAGGTAAGTGGGAAGTGAAGTAGGCAAGAAAAATGTGAATTAAAATCCCCAAGGAAGAGAACAACAAAAGGATTTGAACCATTCAAAAGCATTAACTGAAAAGGATGAGAACCCTGTAGTTCTCTTTTCTAAAGTCTTAGAAATAATCCTTTACATACTATTGCTGTATTGCTGTATTGCTATTTCCTACATCCTCCTCCAGCCTTCCATATATTACCTCTCTGTCCCTCTGTGAAGATAAACTCTGCAGAATCACCCTCTCATTTCTGGGAATTCCTTTATTCTCCAAAGAATTAAACATTTGATTTCAGTGCATAATGCAATGAAATGCTTCACCCCTTGATGCTCTTCATCTTCACAATTCCTTGCTTGTCCAAAGAAATTAGTGAGTCATTCCTTGCAGCCACAATAGAAAGACAGACAGTGAAAATTAAATCTGAAGAAGAATCCAACATGAATGTAACACATTGTGTCAGATTTCTTCTTTATTCAGACATCAAATTATGGCAGCACACTTTTCTAGCCTTTTCAACAATGCTCTCTTATGGTCACCACATATTATGCACAAGTACATTTTGAACAGATAGAAAGTGAATTAATAATGCAGCAAACATGCCTAATTGTGTACAGTACATGTCAGAATAAAAACATGATACATCCCCAGGGCAGAGGGTCTAATCACTTGCAATACCATGCACTGTACCAAGGGGTATACATTAACCCAATGAATCAATACGAGTCTCCCTGGACTGGAAGTGTGATTTATAAACCAGTGACTGGCTGCATTATTAGTATGCTCTTCTAATCTCATAAAAGTATGGAAAAAAACTGAGAGACTTGTGATAGACATACTGATATATATCACTAAACAAAGATTACAAAGCAGTAGATTGCATACTACAGTTGCGATCAGATCGAAGGAACCTCTTCAACCATATTTCTTACTCAGCTCTGTCTATTCATTGTTTAGTGTGGAGCCTATATTGTTTCTACCATGATCCTTATGAAAATAAAAGGCCATTAGGTTTTCCTTTAGTTGCAATCCTTACATAGAATGGGATTACCAGCATATTTTTGTTATCTAAGGCTATTGCATGAGTGCTCAGGAAAGGCAGGAAAGGTATCTAAAGCAGTGTGGCAAACTTAAAAAATATATTTATAAAAACAGGTGTTAAATAAGCTAATATTCCTCTTCTTAAATAATCAATTATTCTTCAGAATTAATTAAGAATTAATTCAGAATTAATTAATTAATTAATTATCTGATCTTGGCAATTTAAAGGCTCCCAATATTCCAGGAGCACATTTTCAAATGAGCAGGTTGTGAAACCACAACCCTGCTGAGGTTTGTCTTTTTATAAATACTCAGCAGTAAAATAGTTTGATCTTCCTCCAGAGCTTGATTAAGCACGTGCCAGCTCATTAAAGAATGAACAATCAGTTTCAATGTTCACGAAATGTGTTTTAAACCTATTAATTTAAGTGGGAGTATGACTATGAAAAATATTTTTGCTGGACATAGCATCCTGATGAAATCTCATGTTCCAGCTCAGCTAACTATCTCAAATACTTCAATTTCAATCATGCAAATAGTTTCACTAATTTTAATAAGTCAGAGTACGTATGCTTATGCAGGTACCTTTATATCTGTAAAACAAGTGCTTATGAGTACAAGTTCACCCAAACTGACTTTAAATGATGTAGAGCAAGGGTTATTTCTGTCAAGTCATTTTAGTAGAGCTCAAAACATTACAGTTTTTCAGTAAGCTCCCAAGAAGACATACTGTAGATATAGATACAGATGTAGGATCAGCAAAGTAGAAAAGTAGAGAGAATCAATTATTTCTGTTTGATTAGTGATGAACTTGTCTTCAAGTCTTCATACATTACATCACTATTGGAGCATATCTACAACAAACAGTATAGAATTAAGATTTGTTGTAAATCAGTATTTCCTTATGGGAGCTCCTTGTCGTTTTAGATTCTCCAACAATACCACAGATCTAATCAACCTGATATATATAGTTACTGTAGGATAAATTCAATGATTGTACCCTTCAAAGGAGTCACCAGCGTGGAAAACAAAGTTTATTACTAAGGATTGAGTCATTCCAGAGGGAATATTTGTGTTTTTTTGAAAGCATAAGTATTTCTTCCTTCTGTTTTGTGAAATGTCTGATTAGGAGGTCTTCAGAAAAAAAGCTAAGCAGTTAAGTAAGGGAATGAAGTTTCATTAGATGGCACTGTTTCCTCTAAATCAGGACGAAGGAAATAAGCAGGACGCTACTTGATGACACCAGTTTAGTGCTCCTCAATGACATTTAAATCAGAATCATAAACCACACAGGATTATTCTATAATCCTACCAAAGTTTCAAAAGAGCAGCACAGTTAAACTGGAGTATAGCCCAGACTAATATTAATGACAGACTAACAACATTTCCCCCTAGTTTCAACTGAATTGATTCAATTTCAGCCAATCTGCTGGACTCTTCCATAGGATATAAAGGATTGTGGAGGAACAGCAGCTCTTATCTCTCAACACACATGAGCCAGTATATTAGACACAAGGTCTCTGTGTACAAATGCATAAAAACAAAAGGCAAATAGCAAGGGCAGCTACTAGTGCCGCAGAACTGCTGCCGGATTACATATGAACTATGTTACCCATGATTTTTTGTTATATTTTCATTTGGGTCTGAGGCCTTTCCAGCCTGAGATTTAAGCTTGCTCAGAAAAACTTCTAAATTGTGTTTTGAAGAAGAGAATAAACTTCACAAATAAAATCTTAGTTCAGTTACAAATGTATTATGACTCTAAAGTTTGACATAGAAATAGAGACAAACCTATTTTATTAAAAAAGACATAAACTTTCAGGGAAATAAGTTATTTTTCTGCCTATAAAATCAAATTTTTAATACTCCAGAACTACATGTTTCTGAAAAGTCATATGCACACAGGTAGTTAGCCAGCCCTCCAAAGAAAAGTTTTGAAGAGAAACATCAAAGTATGCAGCTGAACAGTTATTTTTCCTGTATGTTTTGTTGGTGGACAGGGAAGGCAGTGCCACTTCACAGTAAGGCATTCCCTTACTTAATTGCTTAATTGTTCAGCCTTCAGATGTTACCTTATCTCCTTTTCAAATAATACGCATACTGCAATTCTTCCCAAAAATATCATCTAACAAATTGCAAATTTTACCTTCTCATCTCCCTCATAAAAAATAAAATAAAATAAAGGTGAGAAATAAAGAAAAAACAACACCTGAGCCTGAGGCATATATCTACCTGACAGCATGCATGATTTCAAGATACAAGATTGTTTAACACTATCAGAATCCAAAGCACGAAATGTCAAAACTGCATTATAAGCAAACTTTTTTTTTTCTATATGAGAATTTTCATATACAGAAAAATTTTTCCTTTTCTGGGATTAATTTTGTAGCAATATGCTTGTATCTGAAGAGCCAGATATGAGCCAGATATGAGCCCTTGCTCATATTACTTGTCTCAGTACATTGTTCTCTAGAATCAAGTTTCATTTTCCAGCTGTTTAAACATCTGTTCCAGAAGCTGTAAATTCCCCAAATTTTTACAAAGTCTCACCATTAACACAAACGAAGTCCAAGCTTTGCATTTATTTGTGAGATTTCCCCGGTAGAAAATCTTCAGTTAAAATAAAAAAAAAAAAAAGGAAGAAGAAAGAAATGTCTCATATGTGACTGTTTACTGACCTCCACCCACAAAATTACCTTGTCCCAAGAAAAGCAAAACTCTCTGGAGGCTAACTGGAGTTTTCTCTCAAATAACACTTACTGCCTTTCACTACATCTAACCAGGTCATTTTACATTGCAATGGTACTGATGAGGAACTGCATACAGCTCTCAAAGGCATTAGTGAATTAGAGCCTCTTTGAGGAAAGCAGGATTTTTGTTAAAAGCAGCAGCTTCAGCAAGCCAGATTCAAATTCATCTCTTACACTAGTGTATTTTCAGAGAAACTATTACAATTTCAACCTTACTTGGGAATTCACTCCATCTGCTGGCAAAAGCAAATATCTAGAAACTTAAATGTTATAATGCAATCTTCAGTCTGGAAAGCTGCCTCTCTGAATGTATTTTTGGGATTATCATTTTGCATTAGAATCCTTTGCAAAATATTTATTTATTATAAATTGACTGTGAGTATAACACTAACTTCAGTGGACCTGCTCAAGGGTGGCAACATTCCATGCAACATGCCACTCCCTGAAATAATGAAATACATTCCCATAACATTGTTTCTATTATGCATTTAATCATAATTACAAATTTCAGCTATATTTTAAGTTAGCTAGAAGCAAAATCATGTCCAAAAGCACTGAAAAGCATCAACTTGTCATCTGACCTTTAGACCATAAAGGCCAGTGATAGCTGCATACCTTACAATAAAAGGATTCTCCTTCTAACTGAATTTGTCTTTTATTGCCAATATTTTTGAACCTGATCACTATTCTTCCAGCTTCATCCCGCATGTGATGCCAGCCACGTAAGAATGAACATTTACTTTGTCTTTAATTTTAGCAAGTGAAGTATGGATCATTCACAAGTAGGACCAAAGTCTGCTGTACTTAACCCTTTATGCCAGGAACTTTGGAAGAAATAGGATTAACTGGAGAGCCATCTTACTGATGAGCATGGAGCAGAGCAGTGGAATAAATCCTGTCTGCAAGTTGCAAGGAAAAGAAGGAAAACAAAATGCCTTTGTGAATGCTGAGAGCACACTTGCAACTTGATGCTTCCCTGTGTCATGGTGATGTTAACAGATTTGTTAACGAACTCGGTTAAAAAGAACAACAACAAAAAAATTGGCTTACCGCTCTAACGAGCTCTTTTCTAATCTTTCTTTCTCCTTCCTTTGACGTTCTTTACTCTTCTTAACTCGACTTTCCCACAGTCCTCTTATGAGAGAAAAGTCAAATATTATCACCTGATGTCCCATGCTGTCAACATTAAGTTTCTCCTGCAATAATAAGCCACCATGATCACTTCAGAAAAGAAGTAGTGAAAATGAAAATACAGAATGGAACACCATCACATTTCTTTAATCTTATCTGAAGAAAGAATATCTTAAGAAACAGTAACAAAATATATGCCTCCATCTTTCCTGATTTGTCCAAGGTTTGTGCTTGCAGTAATCAGTGTAGCATGCAGTTGCCTTCTACATAAAATCAATGGCAATGGTTAAGTATTTGTTGAATTTTAGAGTTGTTCGATTTTTCCCTTTCCAAGGCAAAGACACAACCAACACAAAATACAGACTTGATTAGGGATCATTGATGAAAATAGCTCTAAGGACTTTTGGTTTTTTTAACAGCTTTTAACAATTTACATGACAGTAGTAGTGAAATAGAGCTCAAAGTAATCATTCTTCTTAAAGCATGCATAATCACTTAATCTCACCATACTGGTCTTTAGATATCCAAATGGAATCATCCTGTTTCAATTGAATTGTTTGCATAAATAGATGCTTATTTGTGAAAGGGGTTGAAAGACCAGCCCTATAACATACAATGCTACTTACCTATTGCAGAGATAAGGTATGAGAAACATGGCCACATTTATGCATATGAGTTGAAGGTCATAAGAAAAGCCCAGCAATTAAAGGCTCAGGGAAGTTCTAGGTGTTAGTCCTATCTTTAACGTGCTGTTATAAAATGAGCTGAGCTGACGCCTAAGCCATTAAATTTCCTTTGTCTAGTTAAAGCCAGAGAGACACAAACTTCTTGCACATACTCTGCTTGTCCTGAAGTCGGTGACAAAGTTCCCATTCCCTTTAATAGTAAACTGTTAAGATCAGGCTTAAGCAGATATGAGATATATCTTTGAACTCAAAGAAAAAAAAATGGAAAAAAAAAAACAAAACATACTGACAGCTTTAACTACCACTTTACTGACAGTAAACTGTCCCTCAGCAATCTGTGGCAATGACTCAGTACAAACAAAGGAAGAAAAACACTTGCTATATCACTAACACAAGTGCAGATATAAATACTCTCTTGGAGTCACTGGTGAAAATGTAATTAACCGAACCCAATTTTTATTAAGAAATGTACTTACACTTAGGACTTCTGGCATATTTACTTCTTACTTCACAGCACCACCATAAAAAAGTCTTATTAAATACATATTTGGAGTCTCTTAAAAATAATTGTTCCGACCAAGATAAAACCACAGAAAGGGAAAATCAGTTTAAGCTTATGCTTTAAGATTTCATTAGATGCCACTGTGCTATTCATTAGCTTAAAAATTAGAGAATGGAAAGAAGAAAATCCACTGGAACATCACGTGATTATTGAAAACGAAGTCTGCCTCTTCTTTTACAGGGTATTTTCAAGATTTTAGCTATTACTTTTCTTTCAGACCTTGCTCTGATCATTTTTTTCAAGCTCTGTGTCCTGCACAGGAGCCATTTATTATCATTTATCTGTATGACATAAGACTGAGGAAGAATTTCTGCATTTTTCCTCTTTACACTTTTCATCACTGTTGTTTTTCTCTTCACATATAAATCTCCATCGTACATAACACAAAGGATCAATCTCTTATGAGCCAGCAAAATGCCCTCACCTTCATCACATGACAGGAAGAGTTAAAAATAATTATGCAGAAGTACAACAAAAGCAAAGGTTTCTACTCATTTTTCTTATTTGTCATCTATCCAAGAAATATCCTAAATGGCTCTTAATACACACAGGAACTGATCTGGGACTAGTATTTTCCTATGACAAAAATCTTTTATAACTTAGGATGGTTATATAACTGCTATCTTTTCTGTTCATAAAGAAGCTTCTGTTTGTTTATCTTTTCAAGCCTTAACAATAAGTCCACAAATAGTTCCCAGGATATCTCAAATCAGCTGCTGACGGCAGCAGAGTCAAAACCCCATTAATAGCAGTGTAATGAGAACAGTGACCTTACTCATGGTGGAAGGTGTACTCCTAATCAAATGCACCATCCCAAAACTGAATTCACTATTAATTTACAGCAAACTCTTCAATCGCTAAAATAAAACACTCCCTTCCACTGCCTAAGTAGAGAAACCCTGTAACAAGGACCGACCCCTCACGGTAGCTGCAGACCAGCAGCCACTCTGCAGGACTTAATTCATTTTAATAGACCAATTCATAGCAACATTTTTGGTAGAAGAGATATAGCAGGAGCTGAATTGCTGAAAGACAGTGAAGTGGCAGCTGGACACTTGACCTTTGCTGGAGTTTGATGGCCTTAATCAACACAAAGTCTGAATAAACTGTGAGAGTACTCCATTTCCTTGACTTGTTCCCCACCTTCCTGTCTCACAGGTTAAGTCATCTGTTCTTTATTGAAACATTGATCTATTAGATGCTGAGGATGGAAAAAAAATAAATAGCTTCTTTCCACATACTGAATTAAATTGTGATGCATCAGAGTTTCCTCTTCAAACATAAAATCAGGCCATAAGAGAAATGTGGGTGGGAGGTGAGAGGAACCCAGCTTTACTTCTGAGGACTAATCTGTTTAGAACAAACAAAGCCACAAATCTCTACCAGATCACACAGTGGAGAAAGCTTTAGCAATCATTCAACAAGAAAAAAAAAATGTTTGTTGCCATCTACACCTTCAGAAGGGCCCCCTAGTAGACTAGTAGCACAGAGCTGCTACTTTCCCACATCCTGTTCTTAAACAGAGACAGGAAGAATCAAGCGTGATAACAAAACAATTTTCCCCAAAATTTCAGAAGCAAACGTTTTCCTGATGATAGGAGGTTGCCCTGGCAAGCAGGTAGTAGTTGCAATAATCTGTGTAGCTCCTTCAAGGTGCTTGCTCATGCACAGTGAGTATTTGAGACAGAGGAAGAAGTTACCAGCATTAATTTCAGTGTCTAGCATACATGAGACTGTACTTGAAGTTCACATACAGCGATCCATTCCTTTCAATCATCAGCTTAAGCCTGTGCAAGAAAACCCAAAGCTATGATCTATTAGTCATAGGCTGAAGTTACATGAGCACAGAAATGTAGATTTCCTTCAAATAGATTCCTTCCCAACTTGTCCCTCCCACAATTTGACTGATAGTCCACAACAGACTTTTCTGCCACAGATGAGTTTCTCACACCACTGCCAGCATTTTACCCATTATCACAAATCATGGACTTGTCATAAGGGGCCTCTGGAGGTCACCTAGTGCCCACCTGCTCAAAGAAGATCGTTTGGTTACGCAGCCAAAGCTCCACCTTCTCAGCCATCCTTCCTGCACCGACTTCCATACTTACCTATCCTTGTGTTATTCAACATTACTCCTTTCAACCCACGTATTCACACCAGCTCATCAGGGACAAGGTTTGGGCATACTTGTGGGGATTGACCTGACGCACTGACACAGCAGCAGTTTAAAAAACAACACAAACACATGCACAGATTAATTTCTAATTCAAGAAATAGCCCACTTTTTAAAAAATATTTTTATTATTATTAGGGATAAGTCCTGACAACAGAAACAAGCATTGCCAGCATCAGCAAAACCCTATTTCACAACTATGCTGAGTTTGCAGCTTAATGTCATCTTCCTTGGGTGACATCTACATCTAAATTATGCTGTAGATCATCAGCACACCTTTCTTAGATGATGCATTGTTACAATGTTCATTCAGTCTTATGAGTTATTAGTGAGATAGATCACAAGAGCTAGGCTCTTCAGTAATGTACGATAACGAAAGCACAGTGCCTTCCAAGGAAAAAAAGGGGATTCAGGAACATAAAGAAAAAGCAAAGATGTCATTTACAAGAGAATTACTTGTGGAGAAAACATTTCTCTGTGTGCCTGTCTCAGGGAGCAGATAATCTTATCCCTAGCCATTTACACTACCAGAGAAGTAATCTACAAGACCTTAATCAATAGCTTTAAAAAGTAACATACTAGGAAGCTGGAGTGATTTCTTATCTAACTCTCTTGCAATACTTAGCTCAGAAACAAAGCTGATTGATTGAAAAAAAAAAGACTCTTAATAAAGTATTACAAGAAGATACATATTATATATGAGGCTGTATTTATAAGTAGTGAATATATTTAAGTAATTAATCGTAAAAGAAAATAGGCTTTTTCATAATAACAGCCAATAGAAATAAGCACCTGCACTGTTCAACAAAGCAATGTTAAAGCTTCAATGAGACAAACTTGAACTAATTGCAAAGAAATAAAAATCCTATTTCATTTCTCTCATTCCCTCTCTACATATAGTACCCAAAACAAATAAATAAATGAACAGACAAAAACCCTTCAGCCTTAAAGCCATTACAACACCTTCTCTTCCTGATTGACAATCTAGTTTATCTGCAGCTTTGCCCCAGTTTCCATCAGTAATATATAATCAACCTTAATATTTACTTTTCTTCACTTTGCAACTTAAAGCAAGCAACCAGCAGCTGATATTTCTCTGCTCAGGATTGTACTTTCGACACTAGATATTACAACTTCTTCTCAGCTTCAGCATTTCTGGGCTAGCTGGGCTTGAGAAGTGCTTGCTCACACAGTATTCCCCTCCCCTCCATGCCTGGTTTTAGTTCTCTGATTTCCATATGCTATCTCTACACTCTTTGGAAAAGAGTAAAAGCCTCTATAGACTTTTTTTTTCTGGTCTTAAAAAGAACAGAGCAGAATTCCTCTACAAACTTTTTTTTAAGTGAGCACATAAATAGGCTTATTACTATCAAAGAGTGTTCTTATGTGTGTAGAAATACTTAAAAGCGTTTGGAGGATTTGGTGGTAAAAGAGCAAAAGTGGTGAAATGATGAACATTAATGCCAAATGTTATTTCTAGTAAAAGCATCTGTTTAAGTATCTGCATTGATTATTTTTATCCCATCGTTTATTTTCTTTTATTGTGAAAGCTCATCTAAAAGTACCGTGACATTTCTCTAGTGTCTACTCTAGGCTTTCTTCTTCGTATGTTAGGTGCACCCA